TGGTGGCTGCAGCAGCGCCCTGAAAGGCAGCCCTGGAGGGGAGGATGCAGAGCCGCGCCCCTGATCCAGCTGCGCACAAGTGGCCAGGGCGACCCGGGCCCAGGGCAGCTGCCAGCCAGTAGCCCAGAGCCCGCTATTTCCTCCTGAGCTGCTGGTGCTCCCGGGGACCGAGGCTGTGGCCCTCAGCGCCTGGTGGTTCTGTCTGTCGGGGCCAAGTCCACCTCCCATCTGCACCTGGATTAATTCTCACATCCCTCGTGGTTGCCTCTCACCAGAGCGGTTTTCATGGGTTTGCACTGAAGCTTGGGCATCTCAGGAGATTTTTTTTGAAGGAAGCTTTGGCTTCTTCACAGCAGGAGTGTGGGGCCTGGTTGTATTCGTGTGGTCTCTGCCTCTTCCCAGCCACAGAACAGGAGCTGTTGCCTTGATGTTGACTTTTCAAGCACCTCTAAATTCCTATGGTTGCTATTTCTGAAATGCAGGGCCTGGGGAAGCAGGTTTATGTGCTGATCAAAGAGGCTGTGCTTCTCATCTCTCTTCTCCTTAGACACACTCACTAAGCCATCGGAGGGCAGTCCCAGGCCGGAGAAAGCAATTTGACCTCCTCCTGGCAGAACACAAAGCCAAGTCCAGAGAGAAAGAAGTCAAAGAGCATCTCCTGACTTCCACAAGGGAAATACTTCCAAGCCAACCCGGGCCGGTGCAGGACTCGCTGCCAGGATCTTCAGGGAGCTCTGGGCCAGAACTGAAAGTCACATCCCCTGCAAAATCCAGGCCACCTAACTCTGTGGTACCCAGGTAAGCCCTGCATTGGCTACAGAAGCCCTGGGCCCTTTCTGCAAAATCCAGGCCACCTAACTCTGTGGTACCCAGGTAAGCCCTGCATTGGCTACAGAAGCCAAGGGCCCAGGGACTTTATCTAGTTGGGTATGGGGTGTGTGGTGTGTTCGTGCTTTAAATGGAGAGCCTGAGAGTACTACCGCGCACGGCACCTGTGAAATTTAACTGAGATCCTGTGCCTGAGGGACGCAGCCCAGTGTCTACCACTTCATATTCAGTAAACTTTACTGCTGTCATCATCCTCATCATTGTCACATCAGCCTTCACAGCAGGCCTGTTCTCCGACAGTCAGTGTTTTTATGGGACAAGAGTGAGCTGGAAGTAAAAAGCCCAGAAAGGTGACACATCAGCCACCACACAACTTCCCAGCTCTCTAGGGCTTTGCATTGGTTGAAGGTTCCTGGAGCAGCGTGGGGAAGCCTGAGCAGATGAATTGCCCGCACGCCTTGAGGGCCCACTGGACCATACCAGCCTGTTCACCACTGCATTTTGTGATTTATCTTCCCAAACTGTCCTGTAATCGGGATGAAGTGTAGTTTGCATGGTTGAGTCTGTGTGTTCTTACGTTTCTCTCCATGCCAAGAAAGCTGCTTTTCAGAGCCACCTGTTTAGGGTTTTAATTGGTTGTCCCAAGCAGAAAGGAAAGAACAGAAAACACTTGAGTTAAAAACAGTTTTAAAATATACGCATGTCTTTCAATGGGCAGTGGACCCATTTCCATGTAACAGGATAGGGAACTATGTACATGAAGTAATACTTATCGAGTACTTACTCTGTAAACAAGGTACTCAATGAGGTGCTTTTGGGCAGGGGTAGAGAGAGAAGTGACACTAGACCTTTTTTTTCAAAAATTTAGAGTTTGAAAAATGAGATAAGCTGCAAATATCCATGTTTTGCACAAAAAGGAAACAATAATACTCCACAAAAAGTACAGATACTGGCATTATCTGATAAGACTTTCTTATACATACACTGCTCTCAAAGGGTAACTGTCCAATAAGTATAAAGCCTTTGAGAGAACATTGTTTGGGAAGAAGAGCAGGAAGTTGAGTTTTAAAGCAAAAATAAATATTCGATGGCAGTTGTTTCTGGCCCGCCAGCTCCTCACCCTCAGGCACTCTGCACTTTGCCACAAGCCTGACCAGGTCTGGCTGCACAGTCCCCGTGTGGTGACAGCCGAGCCCATAATCCATGCAGGGGATGCAGTCGGGGGAGCTGCCACCTCCGCTTTTCCATCATCACAGCCCTTGCATCATTGCTGTCCCTCACAGTGCAACATTGTCCACACAGCCAGGTGTGGGTTGAGGGTGTCACCCTCAGTTGGGACTGAAGGAATCATTTTGTTCCTAACTTCTGGGAGGGTCTTCAGTTTCACACACAGCAACCCTCCATCATGCAAGCCCCCCAGTGGAGGCCTGAGGTACAGCACATACCAAGCTCCATAGATACTATTTTTCCTATACGTATATCTTCAGAATAAATGTTATAAATTAGGCACTGTAACTAGTAATAAAACTGAATAAAATAAAATGGGACACTTATAACAGTACATTGTAGTAAAATTGCTACTGTTACTCTTGTGCTCTGGGGCCATGATTAAGTTAAATAAGGGTTCTTTGAACACAAACACTATAATACTGTCATAGTTGATCTAGTAACCAAAACCACTAACAGTGTTGTAGCGTTTGAGTGTGGATATGCAGGACAAAGGGAAAATTTTTGTAAGTGCAACAGAGTGGGATGGTGCTAGATTTTATCACACTCCCCAGAACTGAGTCTTACGAATTACTTATTTTGGAATTTTCCATTTAGCGTTCTTGTTGACCACGGGCAACTGAAACCCTGGATAAGAGGATCCTATGTATAGTAGTGTTTCAGTTCTTCGTAGCTATGGAACATTTTCATTGCCGCACAGCTTTCCACAGTGCCCAGTGTAAAAGCAGACTTGCCTCTACCTGAAACTCAGCCCTTCTCCATTCTCATACATACCCAGAGCCATTGCTCCCCAGACCCTTGGAGGGATCCTCTCAAATTTGCCAGACTCAGGAAACCTAGTTTGAAAACGCTTTTTTTTTACAAAACATTTTCCCCTGGATTTTTGGCTGATGACGTTTTTCACCCCAGCAGGTGGTGCCCAGGTTAACAGAGAACCAAGGGAGCAGCTGTTCAAAAGTAAAACAGGGAGGAAATGGGGATTTAGCTCAGTGGCACCGCACCTTCCTCACAAGTACAAGGTCCTGAGTTCGATTCCTGATACCAAAAAAAGAAGGAAAACAGGGAGAGGAGACTTAAGTACCTTTGTTCTGTTCCTTTTTGTACTTAGCTTTTTAGGATGAGATCCAGCCCAAAGACTGAATTGCGTGGCCAGAATTTAGTATTATAATCACATGAAACTTACAAAAAATATGCATTTACTCCTCTTAATAACACGTATAATAGTTCAGCCTGGGGATGTGCCTTGAGCATCGAGCTCTTGCCTAAATGTGGGCAAAGCTCTGGGTTTGATCCCCAACACCACCAAAAAAAAAATCGTTATTTATCTATAATTGGCAAAATAGAAAAAGCTATCATACATGAATGGAACGATCATCAATCTTTCCTAATTACAAATTTCTTCTATAGCAGATGCTAACGTCTTTGAATTTATTTCTCACCTATCTTTTTGATAACATTGAAAATATTGAGTTCTCATATCTTGAATTGTAACCCATTCTTGTCAGAGATTGCTAAAAAAAGGAAGTTGGGTCTAGAATTAGGAAAGTGCAAGTTAGATAACGGGCTGGAACAGAATTTGAAGGGGAAATTTCAACTCTGTGCTGATTAACTAGACAGGCTTGATCTTGATTCTGCGTCTTTCCAACCTCGGCTTGCTCATCTGTAAAATGAAACTAATAACCACCAAGTATGTAATCCTCACTCCCCGAATGATAGCTGCGAATCGGTGGGAGTATTAGTCCAAGGGACAGCATTGTGAAGAAAGTTTTGTTTGTACTCGATTTTTTTTTTTTTCCTATTTTGGTAATGCTGAGGATAAAACCCAGGAATTTCCTACTCAGCTACATCTCCAGCCCTGTTTTATTTTTTACTCTGCAACAGGGTCTTGCTAAGTCTCCCAGGCTGTCTTTGAACTTGTGATCCTCCTGCCTCAGCCTCCAAAGTAGCGGAGATTACAGCATGCACCACCACGCCCAGTGCTGCCTGGTTTTCATATGCCTTCTTCCTGCACCTCTGTCTCCAACCAGAAGACCCCTGAATAACAAACTGTCTGAGTCCATTTTTGCCTTGCTGTAGTAACACACCTGACTCGAGGTAGTACGTAAAGAAGACAGGTTGTTTGGGTCACCGTTCTGGCCGCTGTACAGCCCAGCAGCATGGCACTGGCACTGGCAAGGGCCTTCTAGGCTGCGTTACACGTGGCAGAGAAGCAGAAAGGGAAACCGCTACACGAAGAAGGAGCATGGTACAAGCCATGAAGCAGGAGGCAAGGAAAAGGAAAGGCTCGGTCCTTTATAGCAACCTGCTCTCGAGGGAACTCACTCATTCCGGGGAGACTGGATCCAGCCCGGGAGGCCAGCACTCATCCCTTCTGAGGGGTGTGACCTAATTATGCCTCTTTAGGCTCCACCTTTTAAAGGCCCCATCACCACACTAAGAACCAAGCTTCCAGTATATGAGCCTTCAGAGGACGACCCATATCCAGACCACAGCTCGCCACAGAAGCCCTGTCTCTTTGCCCCTGACTCTAAGAAAACACACTGCTTGCCCCACAGATCCCAAGGGCTGTGGACAGTGATCCCAGCCAAACTCCGTAGCACTCTGCTGGAGAGTGACAGGCCAGGCGGGCCGAGGTGGAGCAGGACTCTGACAAGGCAGGATGTAGCCCCAGGGGAGGGAAGGAGAGGAGAGGCAGGCTGGGGAGGCCACTGCTGGCGCGATCTGGTGTTCCCGGTGTCGCAGATGCTCACACTTCAGTCTAAGGTATAAGATGGGCTGGGTGGGACGGTGCACATCTGTAATACCAGCACTCTGGGAGGCCAAGGCAGGAAGAGCTCAAGTTCAAGACTCGCCCACACAATTCAACAACCTCACTGAGACCCTGTCTCAAAATAAAGAATTTTGAAAGGGCTGGGGATGTGACTCAGTGTGAAGGCCCTGGGTTCAATCCCCAGTACCACACACACACACACACACACACACACACACACACACACACACACACAAAGTGGCAAAATCTAATGAATCTTAGACTGGCAGGGCAACGTGAAGACAGGCAGAAGGTCCTAGGTCCCTAAAGAATGCAGGATGACTGGGGCAGATCTCAGTTCTCGACGCAGAGGTGGTGTCCTTGCCCTGCTGCAGGCCTCACTCTCCTAGACTTGTGTCTTCACCTGAGCTTTTTCTGCATCTGCTTCTCGCCCTGGGGGCTGTGGAGTCAAGGAGACAGCGCAGAAAGCCTCATTGCTTATTGGCTTTGCCGCATGCCCCCCACCTGAGAAGCAGGTGGTACCTGCACCCCACAAGCAACGCATGCTGGAATGGAGCACGCACACAGGGTGCCTGGCACCTGGGGACCTGGTCAGGCCAGACAACTCCTAGTCTCCCCAAAACCTCAGATGGATGGATGTTTGCTTCCTTTATGTGGCAGGGTGGGTCGGACTGTTGAGTGTTTCATCCGCTTTTTCCTGACTCAAACTTCACTTCTTAATTAGGGCAATACAGGCACGTGGTTAGCAAATCCAGTAGTACTGGAGGCCTGAGAAGGAATAGCAGCCGTTCCTCGCCCCACCTCCTTTCTCCTGGCCCTGCCCTCCTCTCTCTCTGTCTCTCTCTCTCTCTCTCTCTCTCTCTCTCTCCCCTCTCTCTCTGGGTTCCATCAGTTCCCATACCTTCCTGCAAAGAGGTGCATAGGGGGTCAGTTTTCAGAATCCTTGTGCACCTCACAGTGTTTTCATTCTGAC